GTATCCAGGTGCAGATATAGACTAGAGGTAGGCAATAATAAAAATATAGAAATATGAAGGAATATAGGGATGCAAATACAGAAGACATTTACCGGAAAGGAGCAGAAACTTATTCAGTTTATGGCAGGAAAATCAATAAATTCGAATATACTGATCACTTAAGAAGTTTTAATAAAAACTCTTTACGTGAACGCAGAGTTATTCATGAATGCAATATACAGCATGGCTTTGCTGTTACAAATTTCAGAGTTTTTCAATTTTGGAGCAATTCACTTTAGGCGGAGAATAATAAATTTGATATCTTATATAGTTAACAATTGGATTGCAATGAATTTAAGTTCACTGTTCTAATCCTTCAACTCTGAACACTGAAATGGCCACCCTGCCCACCCAGTGTCGGCTAGCCATCTTTTCGACTCTAGAATCGATATCTTACGAATTTTTTAGTTCCTAAGAATTGATGCCGAGTTGCGTATGAATAAATATTTCGATTAATATGCCAAACTATTACGATTGACATTCGTACACCCTGCGTCTATAATACGTTAGTGCAACTTGAATTTCCGTTTTCTAAGAAATACCATAGTAGATATTTGAGGAGAAACTACTTCTTTTTGTTCCCCGAGCGCGCTGGCTCAAAATAATTCCACATTTCCGATTTTCCGTGTAAAAGGCAACATATGAACGAGTAACAAAAGTTCTTTTTAAAGTCGTGGAGATGTCATTGGCATTAGGGATTGCCTATAATCGTAGGATTGTTTCATCAGCATGAAACATAGTCGCTATCGACGAGCTGAAAGGTTCTTCCCACTGCCGTTATGATGTTATCCGGGTTATGTAATGTATGTTCCCTGGCCCCTGCCACGTGCATTCCTGATTATAAATCAGTTTTATTAATGTTTCTGTTGTCGATATGTTTTATTATTGCTTCTGTTGTCGATAATATTTGCGTTGTAATTTGTTAATTAGTATTTGGTATCTGTTACTCTTATTCCAGATAACTGGTAATTTGTTCGAATATAGCCTGGATTGCCAAGTCTTTCTTATTTTACTACATAGACAATGCAGATAATTACTGAGACTCTGAGAAAACTTAGCAAGCATGTCACATTTTATACAGGATGAGCAACTTGGACATCTTCTCCGTGAATTACCATTATACATGATGACAAGATTTCATGCGTCTTTGGTACATTGGCCTATATGAATAGTTATATTCATCATAATCTAAAGAAACGTTATACGGACACAGCTATTATTCATTACAATATTTTTCGCGCCTCGCCTATCTTTTCATTAATAGATGATTCAGGCGTCAAAAATGATTACCAGATTTTAGAAAGTTATTTAATCCATTGGCAAGGAATTGCTCGCAGACCAGATCGCCACGACTGAGCACGTGTGGTTTTGAGCAATGACTAAACTGTTCTACAACAGCAGCCAAACCCTAGCCGCCATTGTCGACAATAGGTATATTCATTAACCTTTATCACAACGAGCACATACATCATATATGTGTGTGTTTCAGTGCAGAAGTTGATGAACACGAATCAATTTTTTCTCTGTTATATGTAATAATTTTCTTGTCACGACCGTATGCTATATGCAACCATCAGTCGGATGTGCTGCGATGCCAGCAAGCTAATGGCGGAATTATTCATACATTTATCCAGAGAAAAATACAGTAATTTTCAGCTTATGGTGACCGGGAATAAGGTATAAATTTTTCCATCATTGCTATCTTTGAATCGTCAGAGTGACTAAACAATAATAATATTTAGAACTCTTGCTATTTAGAACTGTTGGCTCGTTCACTAACCTTACTTGTATCCTCGAATAACAATAGGACTAAGTTTGATAAACTGGACCAACAACCAGGACACCGAGCCGTTGTCTCATTAGCTTCCTTAACGAATTTCATTTTTCAACAATTTTTATTTCTTACTCGTCCAATTTCAAATTAATCTAAACGAAATATTGAGCTTCAGGTTGCAAGTATAATGCCTGTCAGTTTACAAGTGTTATTCCACTCCAGACACGTGGCGCTCTATTCATTGTGATCAGTGGTGACGGACGGTAAAAATCTACGGATTTGTTTAAATAAATTTTTAAATATGAAAATGCTGCCTTTCACATTTTCTTCATCTAAAAGTATGCCAACATTTTCCAAATGCTCCAGATCCTCAATTAAAGGCTTGAGAATTGTTTTAGGATTGCAACTGACGCGGGATGCTCGGAAACGACTTTACCTCTGTTGCTACCTGGGACAACTACTGTGCCTTGAGGTACTTCTGGCCTTCGCTCATTTGTTTGATTGTGAGGTGCCCGTTCATGTCGGTGGTGATCGGCCGGTTATTTCTTGAACTGGGGCCATACTTTCAAAACTTGCTAAGTGAACGTAAGTACTTACGCTCTATTTTCTTGTCTATGATTGGTGGATTTTGCTTGAAAGGCCGTCAATGATTGGCTGATGAACTTACGATCTCTTAACTTTTTTTGAAAGTATGGGCCCTGGGAGCTATGCTAGAGGGATCACTAGCTGCTAAATCTGTGCACTGGATCACTAGCGTGCACCGCCAGTGTCCAGCTGGAGTACATTACATGTATAATCTGGTCGTAGAAACAACTTCGTATGACATCGCAACTACTCCCATTGACGGCATCTCTTCGAGTCCTGTTTACTCAGTTGGTGGCCCCGTAGTGCTGAATTATTTTACAATCCCGTTGGGGCTAGCCAATATGTGTTGAAGCTCTCCCGCGGCGACGTCACGACTAGAAACTGTTAATTATTATCTCCCTCAACACAGTTAAACCAATCAAGGAAATCAACTTCATTAGTCAAGTCAATTTACTGAGCAATTTTTGAACAGCATCTTACTTACAGATGCTGTTCTCTGCAGCGCAGTTGTCTCATATCAGCGCGACACATCGGGCTGTGGTAACGAGGCACTGATAACCTGGGCCTATGCTTTCAAAAAAAGTTAAGAGATCGTAAGTTCCTCAGCCAATCATTGACGGCCTTTCAAGTCAAATCCACCAATCATAGACAAGAAAATAGAGCGTAAGTACTTACGTTCACTTAGCCAGCTTTGAAAGTATGGCCCCTGTACCTTAACTCTGGCGTGGCTGTGAAACTGTGGGGGTGAAGCATGCGAACTGTGAAACTGTCGAATGAAGCGTACGAGCTGTGAAACTGGCGAGTGAAGCGTGCGAGCTGTGAAACTGGCCGGTGATGGATGGTGCGCGATGGATGATGGATGGTGCGGCTTACAGGTCCTGATAACAAATGTTAGCACGACACCTAGAACAATGAATGAATGAATGCGTCACTATATATACACCTCGTACTATGAGTGCCTCACTACACACCTAGTACAATGAGTGCGTCACTACACATCTAGTACAATGACTGCGTCACTACACACCTACTACAATGAGTGAGTCACTGCACACCTAGTACAATGAGTGCGCCATTACGCACCTAGTACAATGACTGCGTCACTACACACCTACTACAATGAGTGAGTCACTGCACACCTAGTACAATGAGTGCGTCACTTCACACCTGGTGGTACAATGAGTGTGTCACTACACACCTAATACAATGAGTGCGTCACTACACACCTAGTACAATGAGTGTGTTACGAGTCCTCAACCATATAACATCATCAATAAATGACAAAATTTCATTAAAATTGGAACCCTCGTTCAAACTTCCCATGCAGTCTTCAACAGAACACAAAGACTTACATGCGAAACCTAAAATCATATCCCGCTCGTCTCACGAGTGAGGGAGAAAGTGGGAAACTTCCTCAAAAGCTTCTAGAAGGCAACTTAATTGTGTGTTGAACTTCCCGGACATTGGTGAAGTGGGAGGTGGTCACGTGAAGGCTGATGTCGGAAATTGCAATAGAAACAAATGGTTGTATGTATGTATCCGAAAAAATTTTCCATTATGTTTCATTGTTTCGGGCCGAGGTTTTGTTGCCAGATCACAAGGTTTTGTTGCCGAAAGTTAATGATGAAGTTTGTGGTACACTAAGAGTTTTCCTTATTTACCCTGAACTTGCCCTGGTAAGTTCTCAGACGATGTCGCTGTTGCTGATGAAGGCCATTGGTTGGTCGGTCAGTGTCATAAAAGCTAAATACATTATCGCTGTCACCCTAAGACTGGCCAGGAGTATGACTGAGGGATCACATGGAAGATTTTACCCTAATCGCGTCCAATCGGAGCTTCAATGCGCTAATCACGACGCGGACAAATGCCACGCATGAAGATGCATTACATTGTCAATGCTATGATTTTCGAATGACTTTCAGAGTAAAGTGTGACACCTGGATATTGCTTTAATGAAATTGGATATTTAATATGGGATACCTTTAAAAGCAGAATCCATCGTAAATAAATTCGCAAATGAATGTTGTACCTTAATCCAATTAGCAAAGCATTTTACGTTAAATTCAGTAACACCAGACAAGGTTTGCAGTTTTAGCGTCTATCACCGCCGGATGTCAATCATTCGAGATACGTGAGCGCCACGCATAAGTTCCAATCTCGTATCGTGGATATAACACGCATGCCTCGCGTATGTTCCAGCCTCGTATCGTGGATACAACACGCATGCCTCGAGTAAGTTCAAGTCTCGTATCTGTCTCTTATACACATCTAGATGTGTATAAGAGACAGATGTTATGTTATGTTATGTTATGTTATGTTATGTTATGTTATGTTATGTTATGTTATGTTATGTTATGTTNGTCACTCACTGCTGTGAGTACCGAGTTATATTTTTTGATATATTGTTCATGGTCATGATAGAAAATTCAAAATTTTGTATTCTGTTAATTAATGTCACTTGATTACTTGAACTTCAAGTTTACTAAAAATTTAAGGAAAAAATAAACTACCGCACAAACTCATCATATCTCTATATTAAACGTTTAGGAGTCCAGCTTCTGTCTCTTATACACATCTAGATGTGTATAAGAGACAGGTTCGCCTGTGCCTGTGCATTTTGATGATTGAACCTGGTAACTATGTTTAGCTGTCCTAAGTGTACCTAAACTGTGAATCTTGGTGCGTGAAGCTGGTGAATATATAGAGCCATCCTAAGTGTACGTTGACTGGGAACACTTCCGAGCTGCGCCATCGCACACGTAAGTACCTCAAGCACTTCAATGGCGCAAACGCAGGAGCACTTTTCAGTGAAATTTGTTATTTGTGGAATTTTTTAGAGCAAAACGTTACTCCGCATTGGGGCTCTCTTTCCTATATACGTATACTATATACTCCTATATACTCCTATTTCCTATATACTCCTATATACGTTTTGCTCTCTAAAAAAAAGTATATAGGGGCTGTTATGGGGCGCGTATCCAGGATACTAATCGTGTCGGGATATTGTATATAGGGGCTGTTGGGGCGCGTACATAGGATGCTTATCGTATCGGGAGATTGTATATGGAGTCTCTTGAGGCACGTATCAAGGATACTTGTCGTGTCGGGATATTGTATATAGGGGCGGCTGGAGCCCGTACCTAGGATACTTATCGTATCGAGATACTGAGTATAGGGGCTGTTGGGGCGCGTATCCAGGATGCGTATCAAGTCGGGATATATAGCGGCTGTTGGGGCGCGTATCCAGGATGCGTATTAAGTCGGGATATATAGGGGCTGTTGGGGCGCGTATCCAGGATACTTATCGTGTCGGGATATTTAGGCGCTGTTGGGTGCGTATCTAGAATACGTATCGTGTCTGGATATATAACCTGTTGGGGCGCGTATTCAGGACACTTATCGTCTCTGGATATTGCATACACCCTAACAAAATTCGAGGTATAATGAACTTCCGCCCCAGAGTTGCTATGCTCGCGTTAAAGCAATTCTGGTCTGCTTGTCAACCTGAACGCAGTCAGCGACTAGTTGGAATCTCATTGCCGACTTCATAGTTTCATGTGATTATAGCATAGTTTGCTTGTTCAAGTGTACCGAGCTTGCATGCTGCCACGTGCTGCAAATCAAGCTCTGGGGACGTATTATCAAAACTTCGTAAGTACGCAAAATCGACTTACGAGTGGCGTTGCTAGGACAACGTAATACTAGCGGTGGTATTATCAAAACATTTGAGCGGGAAACATTCGCGCGGGAAAAACATTTACGCTTTATATACGCTTTTAGCTAAGACTTGTGTACGAAAGTTTTGATAATGCCAAAATTAGGGTGTACTTACGTACCACATAACTTTTTTGTCGTAAGTACAAAAAGTTACGAAGTTTGATTAATCCGGCCCCTGGTCAAAAGACCCCGAGCAGATGCCTCTGAGACGCTTGAGTACTAGCATGCCCATTACCCGTAACTAAAATTTAAATCGACCCCTTACATTCAGCCCATGTTTTTATGCGATGGTACAAAGGCAGACTAGGCCTCACAATTGTATGTAATATCGATGTTTTTTGGTGATTGCAACAAACCACTCATTTCATTTGAATTCAAACGACCTAACGTTTAAATTATCTATTAACTAAAATCTGTATTATTTTGGTTTTATACTACAATTAATATGAAAGAGGTATAAATGAAGATGAAATCAATCAATGAGTTAAATATAGCGAAATTACTATGAACAGAAAATTATATTAAATCTCATATCCAGTTATAAAATTATTAACTAATCTGTTTGTATCACTCGACGAAGAAATGTATTTTTATTTGAACTAGAATAAAATAGTTACGTGAACATGGAGAGACACAGTCTAAAAATTTCCAGCATAGCGAAATTACTATGAACTATAGGCTCCAGAAACTTATATTAAAGCTCAAATCTAGTATCCAGTTCTAAAATTATTAACTAATCTGTTTGTATCACTCGACGAAGAAATGTATTTTTATTTACGGCAGGGTGGTCCAGTGGTTAAAGTTCAGAGTACCAAGATTGGCGCAGAGAGGCGCGGGTTCGATCCCAGCTCTGTGCGCCAGTTTCTGGTCAGGATCGGCGAGGAGGCCGGGCGGTTAAGCACAGCAGAATTGTAGCAGTGAGTTGCGAGTTCAAGACCGCAATAAACTGTAAATATTCTGCGATGTTAAGAATCGGTGACAAGCCTACGGCTAATTAAACGCTGAAACCGCTATTATTATTATTATAAGCTTTATACCCAATGATCGTATATGTAAATGTGTTGTAATAAAACAGGATGTCTATATGAAATCAGGCTAATCTGTTTTTTTTTTTTTTGTTCTGAAGGAGGAGACTGAGAAACGTTCATTTTCTTTAAGTGGAAGAGTTAAGTTGGGGCACCTGAACACAAACAGTAGATTTTTTGCAAGGTAGTACTTACCTCTTCTGAAAAATGTACAATTGATCATTTTCGATCTCAAAAATACTTTCGTGTGCATCATGAATATTTTAGCGAAGATTCAAACGGCATTTCGGCCACTCCGAGACGTTCGTTCACCTAGGATATGCAATACCAGTCGCAATTCCCCAATACACTGCGTTCTTTCTAACGCCGTCAGGCTCCTTGAATTGTAATAAACGCCTGGAACTAAAATTAAAGGCTCAGACAATCTGAACTCTAGTGGACAAGTGAAACGGGCTAAAAATATTGTTATCCGCCTGCAAGTTGAAGCAATTTTCAAGCATGAAATGGACTGTAATTTTTGTTTGTCAGTTGTGCTGATGGTGTGGAAAAGTATTTTCTGGTGGTGATCAAGTGAAACGTACTATAAATACTGTTATCCGCTTGTAAGTTGATGCAATTCTCAAGCATGAAATGGACTGTAATTTTTGTTTGTCAGTTGAGCTGATGGTGTGGGAAAGTAGTCTCTGGTCACCTATATAAATATTTTCATCTTGTGACTTTTCAATTGGTGATTATGAAAGTTGTACCAACTTATGAGTAATATGTGCTATAAAGTAAGAGAATATTGAATGAGTGTTTATTAACTAAAAGTTCGTTCTTTCTATGGTTTTCATTTTTGATTTACGAGGTCTCGTGTTATGCTGTATTTTGTACGTGGTATGTTGTCAATTAACAAAGGAATAAAATATTGCCGTAGTCTCCTCGTGCCAGGAATACCGTGTCTAATTTATGCTGCTTTTAGCGTGATCTTGAGTTGATGAACCAATTATGGGATAGTCATACTGCCTATAAGGTTATGCAATTTTGATGCAGGTAAAGGAAATTCTTATCTGTTCATTTATGTTATTTTTATCTTTTATATTACCTGGCATTTTAATGTGCATAGTTGTAATGTTAATATTATTCGAAAATACAACATCGAATTGTGTTCCGAATTTTGTTGTATTATCTTCATTTTCATGGGGTCGAAAAAAGGGAATTGAAAGGAACTAACGTAAGTATTCAACTTCCCCTCCCTTCCTTCCACTGTGGAGGAAAAGTGTGGGCCCCCCACAAATTTCATTTTTTGGGGCAGAATTGGAAAGCACAGGAGGAAAGGAGGGAAGGATTATGAGAAAGGCAGTGAAGGATAGGAGGAAAGGGACGAAAGGATGGGAGAAAAGAGAGGAATGGATTGGAGGATAGTGAGGAAAGCATTGGATGGAAGGGAGGAAAGGTTTTGATAATAGGGAGTATGTAATATATTGGAGGGAAGGGATGGATTAAATGAAAGGGATAAAGGAATGAGAGGGAAACGCAGGAAAGTATTGGAGGGAAAGGAGGAAAAGAATGAAATGAAGTTGAAGGAAAAGAATGAAAATGAGACAAGGAATTGAGGAAAGAGAGGAACAAATAGGAAGAAATGGGGAAAATTATTGAGGAAAAAGATGAAATGATTGGATAAATATTAGAAATTTTATAATTCCTCTCTGCTGTGAGACATGGGGTTAGGTTATTCTTTTGGGTATCCATTATAAGAGCGCTCACTATTAGACTCATATTCGAGTCAACCATTTTCCGCGAATAAATAAACCAGAGACCGTGAATAAATCAGATTTGACTGAGCAAGTTTTTGTGTCACTTTTCATGCATGAGGTGCTTGCCTACTTCTTTTTTCCTATTTTAATGAGAATCTCTTCGTTAATTTCATTCGGTAGCGCCTAATGGAATGTGTACTTACAAAAATTGCGAGTAACCGAGGTGTTGCTTTAATGGTAATGTCATTCCACGGATTAAAGCTAGGCTTTAAATTTTATAAAAACGCAAATCTGAAATCATCTTAATAATAATGGTTCCGGTTGAAAAATTAATTTACACAGTAGCTAAATGTGTTTAAGGCACTTATGACTATACAGACCCTAGGTTTGTTAATGAATGTGTTTATGAATGGTACATCCCACCGCACCAGCGATGGCGCAGGTTGTAGGCATGAGGGAATCATCGCAGGCCTCATATCAGTACGTGTGGCATATACATTGAGTACGTTGTGATTCACCGTCATTCGCTGCCAAAAATTTTACAATATTGACCCCAGTCCGCCATTCGCCACGACCCAGTTCGTAATTCCCCTAAGTCTGCCAATCCCGGCGACGTAGTTCGTGGTCCAGAATTCCGTACGCTCCGCACGAGGTACGTTATAGTCATCACCACCTTAAACTCTTCCCCGACGCCAGTGGAAGTGGATTCGGCCGAAATGCAAAATGTCCGATTAAAATTATCTGGTCACCTAAATCATTGTTTTGTGAGTAAACAGTCACTATGAAGGACTTGTGGGGCTTGTGGGGCTCGTTCAACGTTGATCGCCCTGACCGCACGGACCTTACGACGTAGCGCAGCGAGTATTAAGCTTTTGTGCAATGTGATAAGATGATATGATAGAATGACATAAAATGTGAATGATTCATCTATAGCTATTTCGAAGCCAGATGAGGGTTGCTCTTGTATTGTATGATGGAAAAAGCACGGTGGTTGTTGGGGAAATTATTTCATCGTTGCTTTTTGGGGAGGTGCCTTTCCGCTGTTTTTTGGACGTCCTGCAAAGCGCTGACTTGAAGTCATATGTCTTAAAAGCGCTCATATGTCTTAAAGTCATATGTCATAAAGCGCCGACGTAAAGTCATATCTTATCTTCGGCTCCTAAAGCTGCACGGCGCGATAAGATGTGGCTAATAAAGCAATATACTATGTTTTTATTGACTCTATTTATACTCATAGTGCAAGTAAAGCTCTATTATCATTCAATAATTTGGATAAACTCTTCTTATGAAATGGATACTCCATACCGGCGTTATTTTCCACTAACCCCCTTTCTTTAATTGTTTTCGCGAGCTCAATAAATAAATTCAAAGGGAAAACTGCTCCCCTAACATGTGAGGAAGAAGTTGTAATTTTTTGTAGGAAAATTTTCAGTAAGACAGGCTGGCTGCTATTTAGATTTTCTTAGTTCGGGGAAAGATAGACGGTCAGCTTTTGGCTATAAAATTTTAGTGTTGGTTCCGCAAATTAGGTCAAGTCTGACTTGTCGCCGTTTCTTTTGATGTACTGTACCTTTTTCCAGGAGGGCTAAAGACTAGTCTTTCAGAGATCCATCAAAATTGCCTTCAAAGCATCGAAGCCAATACGATAAATTGTCATAATTGAAGGCATTCAAGGCGTAAGTAACAACATGGAATGACCAGAGAAGTTAGCAGAGTCTTCCCAAGACAGGCTGCGAGCGTAGCTGTTAGCAAAGTCTAACAACTATTTACTACTTATATCATTTTTATCATAGTCTGCTCAAATCGAAAGTGAAAGGATAAAAAAGCGAAGAAAACGCTAAGCAAGTTCACATACCTTCAATGAAAACGTTCTGGAGTCCATCAGCTAAACAAATTTTATTATATTAAAGTACAATCAGCAGTGAAGATCAAAATATGCACGAAAGAGATTAGGACCTAATTATGTAATGAGAAAAACTACAAACATAATAAAAAACCTATAAATTTACAATTTCAAGAGAATAAGAACTTTACGCATTATTAAAAGGAAGTTTGCGTTAAAAATATGCAGTGATTCCAAAATCCTTAAATCTGAAACACCAGAGCTTACCTAGCATCTTGAAATCGCTCTCAGACGTGCTGAATCGCTCTTGAAATCGAATCACTTGACTTACAAAGGACAGTTGCTAGTTTCAGGGAATTGTGAGTTCAAGAGGACCATGTATGCCAGCGCAACATTTGCATCAACATCTTTAATTAGAACGCAACCCTAATGGACTTTTGATGCTTCCGTTATTTCAGAGATTTTGACTAACCGCAACCTTTGTTTCTTGTGCAGGGGTCTGGTGCGACATGGCTTCCGCAGCAGGAATCGCGGCTACTGCAAGTTTTGAGGAAATGAGAACCATTTGTCAAACCCACGAAGTAATAATGACGCTGTGCCCTAAGTATACGAGCAAACTGTTGGCTTTGGAGTGCAAGGATAAAGATAAAAACGTTACTTACAAGACCTACCTAGAAAAATGTCGCGGTCAGACCTTCACACAAACTGAATGGAAGAAGCTATGCGGCTTTTTGGGTGGCAAGTTTGAAACCGAAAAGGACCCCGACAATTTTGACATGACGGCACAAGACAAATTATTTAAAATCATGTTCGATATCAAAAAAGACGGGAGAAACTCGACAGATTTGTTAAATAAAGTGAAGGCGGTGAAGGACATTAGAAATGATCTCATGCATGACGCAGCATCGATGAAAGATCCAAATAAGGTCCATGAGATCAAAGATACATTGATCGAGCTGATTGAGGAAGGTGGAAGTTTTTATTCCCTTCCCACCAGCGAAACAGAGGACATGAAACATGAGCTGCAACATAATATAGATAACTGTTTTAGTATAGGGAACAAACAGCTGGCTCACGTGACATATCTTGCACTTACTGAAGGAAAAAGAATTTCTGACGATCGTGTTCAGAAATATTTCAACGAAAATCTACCTTTAGACCTTGGCTGCGTGAAAAGATCTGAGGTATTTTATTCGCCTAAAGTGATGCCAAGTGGACAAAACAAAAAGCCTCTTCCTTACACCAAAATCTTTGACTCGCAGGATCGAGTTATTATTGTTGTGGGTGTCGTGGGGGCGGGTAAAACAAACGTGCTCAAGAACATAGCTCTACAGTTTTCTGCATTGCCGTCCAATATCCCGGACTTTTTGAAGGGATTTGAAGTTCTTGTCTACATCGAGTGCAGGGACAGAACCATGAGCAGTCTACAGCAAGTCTTCATGGAGCACTTTGAAGGCTTGTTTACTGAACCTGGAGAGAAAGCCAGCGTTTTGCAAGCTGTGAAGCAGCTTCACGTTCTGTTCCTGGTCGATGGGTTCGACGAGGTAAACGATATGTCAATGACTGTTTTGCGTGAGCTCCTGAAAACAAAATGGCACTCTAACTCTCGCATTCTGATCACAAGTCGTCCTCAAGCCTTCAAAGAAGTCAAAACATTTGTCACGAACAATGACGCCACCTTCAACGAGTACCGTATCGCTCCGCTCTCTGAGCTGCACGAGCAGTTGGAGTTCATCGAAAAATACGGACGCAGTCTGAACGAGGATCCTGCGCGGGCACACGCGATGCGAGATCGATTTGCCCGGCTTGACCCAGAATTACAGAAATTTTTCACTGAGCCCATAAATTTGCTGCATTTCTGCTCAATTTTTAATAAGACTCCGAAAAATATTGACCGATGGAGAAGCTTCAATGACTTGTCGAGAGACGTATTAGCTTTAATAAAAGCAGTCGTGGCAGGAAAGCTCTGCGATATCGCTGTCCCAGATAAAGATGTTCTTATCGATGACCTGATCATGGTCGTAGGTAAGTGTGCTTTGGATTTCCTCTCGCGCAACCAAGTCACTTTCGCTGACCACGAGATCCTTCGCCTAAAGCGTCAGTGCATCGACAAAATGAAGCCTTACGGAGCTAGCGGGAAATTTGACACTGGAGTGTTCCTCAGCACCATGCTTAAAGAGAAGAGATTGCTATCTGGAGGAACAACCTATTCCTTTGAACATAAGTCTGTCCAAGAAGCAATTACCGCCCACTACGTTGTTGGGCAACTAATCGACACGGAAGAACCTCTTAAAAATATCCTAGGAACTACGAACTCAAGGTAGGACGACAGCTCCATGTATCAAGTCTATATATAGCGCAAACATTTATCTGAGTTGTACGTTCATTGAGTCGCTTGAGGTTTGATCATAATATTATGCTATATCCTATAATATTCAGTTCATCATAGACAATTGTAATTAGAAATAAACGCAATATACATCAGACATCGTACAACTTACTAGACATGGAAACAGCTAGGCTTGGAAGATGCCAAAGGAAATAAGTCAATGCAGAAATCGCATTGACGCACGGAGAAAATGCTGTGTACGTTCCCTATAGAACAATGTGGCATTCAGTTGTCAATGCTTTAAACATAACTCAATAACAAACAAACTTTCAATCACGCTACCACGTTTTTTTTCAACGTTTTAGCCAGTAACATATATCAGTTTCATAATTGAGTAATATTTTCTCCACGCATTGATTGGCTGCTAATCTGATATTAACGATTATGTATCGCTTACGGGAGTTGATATATGAAGTAGATTTCCTTTGCTAGATTTTTTTACATCTAGAATCATGGATGAGAGCAACTGTATATATATATATATATATATATATATGCCGAATTACGTTCACAGTCTATGGAATATTCGTGTTAACATAAGTCTTGAAAAGTTAGCAGTGCAATTAAAGTAACCAGCCTCTGATGATTTACTGATTTAAATTTTCAGGGTCAAACATTTCAACAGATGGAGGTTGTATGAAGTAATTTTAATTTATTAACGACGTTTCGAATGTGACAATATTTATTTTCAAGTTATAGAAAGCATCTAATACTGAAAATTTGGTGGAAATAAGTATATGATACACGTAAATATGATACAACATGATAATTTGGAACCGTAAAAATATTTCAGAAATAATCTCAAAGTTCAGAAATTCAGGTAGTTTTGAGATGGANTACTTTCAAAACCCGCTAAGTGAACGTAAGTACTTACGCTCTATTTTCTTGTCCATGATTGGTGGATTTTGCTTGAAAGGCCGTCAATGATTGGCTGATGAACTTACGATCTCTTAACTGTTTTTAAAAGAGTGGCTTGAAAGGCCGTCAATGATTGGCTGATGAACTTACGATCTCTTAACTATTTTTGAAAGCATAGGCCAGGGCTTCAGCTATCGTCCGTCAGTTGATGTCGGGCCACTATATATATTTTCTAGTCAAGAAAAGCACAAGAATCGGCGACAGGCCTATCCAGGCCTACTCTTTAATGCCAAAGATACTATACTATATACAGGATGATGATGCTGGTGGGTTCCTCCAGCACAGATGGGAGTGACGGTCTCGTTGAGCTTGACGTTGTTGTCAAGGGTGTCACGGAGCCTGTTAAATTCATCACGGATCTTGAGAAGCTGATCGATTTTAAACATAGCAATGACCTCAATCCCATTGAAAACCGATGGGGCACCATGGCGAGAGATGTTTACCATTTAATACTTTGAGGCCTGGCCTAGCTGGTTGTAAGCTTATCTCAGTTGGCAGGATAAACGGCTGCTCAATGTCGTAGTAGTTACTCCAATATAGTCCAAATAAAGAAGTAGTCTATAACCTTCTTCGAATCTAAATTTATAGATTACATTAAATTGTTGGAGAACTCCCGCTCGTTCGCTGGTGCCGTTGCTGCGAATAGTTTGGGGTTTGACGTTAATGCCAAGGGATTCACGGAGCCTGTTTAATAATTCAATAATACTATGAGGCAGTTCGAAATATTTTTCTGTGACTTCAAATTTTTTAGTTCACTGTTAGTTAGTATGATTTTTCTTGGCATTAGCTCTGATCTGTGTCTCACAGTTATCATTTCACCTCTCGCTGCCTGGTCATGAGTGCAGAAATTATTATTAGATGACAGAATTAGACCATAGAGTTCATTGATTTAAATTTGCAGGGTCAAACAATTCTTCAGATGATATCGGTTGATCAAAATGCAGGTCTTGATCAACCAACGTCGTTATCGTAGTTAAAAAATTCAATTTCTTCCTAAAACCCGCATTTTGATCAACCAACGTCAACTGAAGAATTCTTCAACACTGAAAATTTAAATCAATGAACTTTATGGTCATTTACCGCTGGAAGCGGACTAACTACACGATGCAGCCTAAGTATACGAAGCAGCAGATTTTTTTCTGTCATTGCTGCGTTCAGCTTACAATGTCATCAGTGATTTGCTGGCAGAATTACAAACTCGAAACTGTTCTTAATAGTACTGCTGCTTGTAGCTTGTTCGACGTGCCTCTCATTGCCGTCATTCATGTGTTATGGAGATGTTTCCACCTGCCGTGAACTGGTTTTCTTGAAATGCCTTAACCCATCCAGTCAAAAATCACCGCAATCGGCGAGCCAGCCTTGGGTGAACATGCATGTCTGTCCCAACAGTTGCACCTGCGCAGTCTCAATGAGGCAGTAAACAGACAGGCATGTCCATTGTTGATTCACGCTATCGGAATATTCGCTTATGCCTTCTAGAGAACGACGGAAGCCATCACCGCGAGCTCTATCGAATTGTCCGCAAACGGCGATTGTGTAATTTGAGTTCGTCATTGAGGGTCTAGATCGACTTGTTTGCGAAGGTGCCGGCGCGGAAGGGCCTTGCAATGGTCAGGGTGAAATTTTCGAAATGGGCAGTTGGCCGCTCTTATATTTCGCGGTAGTGCTGGCGCACCGTTTGCCGGCAAGCGCTGGAGTACCTGCAGCTTAGCACTAAAATGTTCATGACTCGGCGTAGTACCCTGGTACCCAGCCAAAACATACATCTACAACCGACGTATGTTTCGGCAAATAGAAAATCTGGAAAAAACACATATTGCGTCTAACAGACCAGTATCAGACCGACACGTATTGCATTAACATCGAGTTAGTTGAACTTGCGGTCAGTAGTCCCTGGGTAGTCGGTATGTTCACCCAACAATTAACTTCAACCCCAGCCTCCTGGAGGTGCTGCTGTATGTGGCGGCGGAGCTCAGCACCCGCAGCCCTTCCCAGTTCCAGCGGCGATGGGGGCAGCTGAAGGAAGCGTTGCGCGACGCCGGCATCGATACCGGTGACGACAACGGCGATGACGTGAGGGACTGCATCGCGCGTTGCCCTGACCACGTCGCGGGGCTGGTGGCCGAGCTCGCCGTCCTGGCGGGGGGTGGAAGCTGGCATGTCGAGAACGGTGGGTGACGTTCACTCATGTTGAGTGTAGGGGCTGACATTCACTTATATTAATTAAGTGTGGCTGGTGACGTTCACTCATGTTGAGTGTAGGGGCTGACATTCACTCATGTTAATTAAGTGTGGCTGGTGACGTTCACTCATGTTGAGTGTAGGGGCTGACATTCACTCTTATTAAGTGTGGCTGGTGACGTTCACACATGTTGGGTGTGGTTGCTGACGTTCACTTATGTTGAACGTGGTGGGTGAAGTTCATTCATGTTGGGTGTGGTGGCTGACGTTCACTTCTGTTGGATGTGGTGGGTAAGTTCATTCATGTTGGGTGTGGTGGCTGACGTTCACCTATGTTGGACGTGGTGGGTGAAGTTCATTCATGTTGGGTGTGGTGGCTGACGTTCATTCGTGTTGTACAGTACAGTACAGTGCATTGCAGTGCGGTGGAGAAGAGTGCAGTGCGGTACAGTACAGTACATACAGTATATAC